GGCAGACCTGGAAATTCCTGCCTGAAATGTAGGAGAGATACTGCCAAGTCATTGTTGACAATATTGAGTTTGCTGGACCAATGGTCTCAGTATAAGGCAGCAGCATGGGTTCCTATGATGTCTTTTGGTTTTCCCCCCCCAATTGTTTTCCTAAATATTGTTTTGTTCTACTGCAAACCCTTGAGTTTGCCCAAGCCAGCTGATGCTACACACACACATCTCTTGAATTGGAAACAGAGGAAAACACAGAACCTACAAAGGTACCTTCCTTTTCAAAATGATCCCAGATGTCCTCAAGCCCAACTAAAGTATTTAATCTGATAGGATACACCAGTTCTGGAGACTTTCCCACAGTTGTAGGCCAAAGCTGTAGGCCAGACAGTCATAGAAGTGTTTTGTTTTGGTGCGATATGGTAAAAAATATTAAGCTATGGTAGTGTGGGAGTTACCAGCTGCTGCACTCACTGGAATATACTACAGGTCTAGCTCAGGTCTAGCAGGTCTAGTTTTATTCCACTATATTCACCCATGTCAAATTCCAATTAGAGAAGAATTCAGCAGCATCCCTAAGGTGTGAGAAATTGAATAATTACTGGTGCTCACTTTTGACTCTGGGTGTGTGCAATTGCATGTAGATTCTAATTACTAAATCAAGAGCTACATATACTAAATCAAGAGGTACATATAAAGTACATATACTTTATGTATACTATATACTTTGCTAACTCTTGCAGAGCCTATAATATGGAAGGAAGAAAAAAAAGTATATAGTGTAGGGTAGGGAAGGAGACAAAAGGATAAGGGTAATTCTGAAAGAGATGAAGGGAAGGGAACGACAAAGTGAGAGACTGGAAGCAACAAGATGGTGGTGAGAGAGCAAGAGGGCCTGCATGGACCTAGGGACATAGACTAAGTTAGGACTGGCATCAAGTATAGGCATGGTTGGGCACCTGCCAAGGGGTACACCTCAGCAGCGGTCCCCTGGATTTTTTTCTCCTCTTCATTATTTATCTACCACTTGTTATCGCCCAGACAATGGTGGTGGCAAGACAGAGAAGCAGTAGATGCCACTGCCTGCTTGCTAACTGACTCTGACAACAAGCAAGTAGTAGCACTGATGAAAAAGTGGATGGAGAAACAGGAGGTCAATGAAGGTGAGGGCATGTGCCAATGAAGGCGTCTTGCTCAAGGACCCTCAAAACTAGGATCCATCTCTAGAAAAGGAAATAGCTGGGTGAAAAATGGAAGCAAGAGGACACCTACATTGAATTTGGATTTGGCTGGCTGAAATGAATCACTTAACATTTAAATCTATACCAAACTGAAAAGGTTTCTAGATCCTGTTGTGCTTACTGTAATATGACTGAGAGAGCAGGAGGGCCTGAGAACTTCCATATTATTATGAAGAATGACCTTTTTGCCAATCCCTTTCAAAAGTTACCAAAGGGAAGAAGAGTTTTATTTATTTAAAAAAAACTTTAATTTTTTTAAAGTTCCAGGAGGAATCTTCATTTTTTGTAAGACAAGGAGATTTGGAAATGAATCAGAAACAATTTAGATGAATCCAGTTGTGAACAGTCTCCCCCTCACTGCCCAATTTATGTTCTCTACAAAGCCTATTTCAGCTACATAATACTATGAGATATTGTATTGTTTAAAGAATAATTAAACCAGAAAACCATGGTATTTCTGCATTTCACAATAAAAATTGCTATGAATGAAGCACCAAAAATAACATATTACAAAAGGATTGGAGGCAGGTTTGGGGAAAGCAAAGATAAATGATAGTTCAAGCTTGCTTCACACATGTAACTGCCTGGAGAATCTCACACTTATTTCCAGATAACTCCATCAAGCATGCCTATATCTCTTAGTAATACAAGGCATATTTTTATATAAATGTTTGAGTACATGTTGATATCAAAACTGTGGGTAAAATGAATATGAAATGTATGTAAGCATTAGAGTGACACAAAAGAACCATCCTTTATGAAGCAGGAGCAGTAGAAATACAAGTGCTCTGAAGAATGGAAAGGACACAACGAACCCTGGAAAAAATAATGCTGTCAAGTATAGTGCAGAAAGCATTGCAGAGGACTGGGTTCCCACATTGAGCCATGAAGATCCCAAATTCCTTGGGCCAATCACCATTTCTCTGCCGAGGGAAAATCTACACCAGAGCCCCTTCCATTTACCAGGGAGTGCTGCCATAGTATTTATGCAAAACACACGCTCTAGCGTTACAGCACATGCTAATGAATACAGCACAGTTTCCACTGTGTTGAAAATGTGATCTTGTGTCACACACAAATGCAATGATGGGATTAGGAGGAGGGATTTATCCTTAAAAAGTATATATGTTTGTCTTAACCAAGCTATGGTATTTCTGCATGGTTACCATGGTTAAGCTATACCATGGTTAAGCTATGCACAAGTGTGATGAAATAAACAGGTGGATTTTTTTTTTAAGGGAGGAGAATGATGGTTACTCTCGTCCGTTATAAAAATAATCACAGAGAAGCAGAAGGAGATGAAGAGTGGAGAAGAGTCTATGGTACTGTTTACTGTACTGTTTGCTACCCTATCTCATATGTGGTAGAGACTGAAGGATCAGTACTTCCATTCCCTTTCAACTAAAATCAGTTTCTGGGAGTAAATGAACCCCCTTTTCCCAAGGGTAAGTGCCATTAAAATAGTGTGATTTACTTCTAGGTAAATGTGTATACAGGAACATTTTCAGCTAATTGTTTGTTACATTGGAAGGGATGGGGAATGCAGCACTGCATTTGTTCTTCAGTTCAGAGAGAGAGAGAAGGGACCATCTAGGCAGGAGAGCAAGTGGACTTGGATGGAGCTTATCTCTTTGACAGAGTTGTTGAGGTTTTGTTGAAGCCTGAAACTCGATAGACAGCACCACTCCCTCCAGCGCACTAGTCCACTGAAGTAACTTTTCTTACCCACAGAACAGTGCCACAAGTTTAGCATACACTGAAATACGTACTGGGAAAAAATGCAGTGTATACTCATCTAAAGAAATCTGGGTTATCTGGCAGAAATAGTGCAAGGAGGATGGCTGGGCTGATTATCATCTGACACGCTATTGAGCAAGCCAGGAAAACTGCCCATCCCCTCACGCCAGACTGCATTGCATGGATGTTGTGAAAACCAAACAAACACCTCAGCGCCAACATCTTGCCATTCTTGGTTGAAAGACAAGATACAAAGGAAATTTATTCTTGTACACGTGCTTGTCAGGTCCTTCTGATTAACTGAAATTCCTAGCAGTTTTTGAAACAAATAGAACTCTCAAATGCCTTCTGATTTCATATAATGCCACTATGTTTTATGCTTGCTTCCATTTAGGAGCACACTGATTTGATGGATCATGCTGTGGTATTGAATTCTTGCTCAGATGTTCAGAACATTCATTTTAAACACCACATCTGTTGGCTGAAGGCAAGCATTCACTGTTTTTTGTTCTGTTGCAGAGCTGTCACAGTGCGGTACAGCTGTTCAATGACACTAATATTGACATTCTCATACCCTAAATACACATTATAGTATCAGACTTAAAGCACGGTGGAGAGGCAAATGGTAAGTGTTGATGAAAGGACAGAGTCCACAAAATCCACTACACGTTGCTCAAGTGCTTGTTTTATCTTTGTCCCATGTACTGCTTTGTCTCAAATCAGCTGTTACCTGTCCAACCTACTATTTTAAAGGGAAATTCCTATTTGAACAAATGCCTTGAGTTATCATCTGTATTCTTGTCAAGAGACAAATAATACAGCTTCTGCAATGCCTTGGAAAACTGTCCTTGCACAACTGTCAGCTTTGGGGGCAATTTTATCAAATAAACAGCCATATCCCAAAAGCAGTTTCTATGGGTTTAACACTTCAGAATAAAGCATTGTAGAAGCCTAAACATACTGTTTGGGAGACAATAGCCTCTCATACCGGCATTATTAGCAATTAATTCCTAGAAGGCATGGATAAACCACATTGTTAAGCAAACGGCACCATTCTCAAAAGACCCTATTATGTTATGTCAGCCACCTTAATCTTTCCAGTCAAAGTTAAATGAAAATGCACCCTATGTTGATTCTTTGCATGCTGCCATTGTATCAAACACCTTTAGAGACACTAAAAAGAAATTATTGCATTACAGTTGTAATCTTTCTCTCTCATATGTGGAGTGCAGAAAATGCAGTGAAAATATACTTTCATTCAGTGTAGAAAAGGGATGGTGGAATAGGTGAGGCTTGAGGATTTTGAGGTTTTCTGAATTCCATGTTGAAGCTTGACCCACCTCAATTTCACACTTGAGCTTTTTTCCCCGTTCACAGTAGAAAAGCATGTATTTTTGTTTAAAGTGCACACTCAAAGGGATACTTTTCCCCACTGACTAAAACATGAAAGTACATACATTTTTTTCCAAAATTGCACATTTTTGTAATGCACGTTTTTCTAAACTACACATTTAGTGATGTGGTCATGATAAGAACTGGAAAGCTTTGCCCAAAAAATGCTCTCACATTTGAGGATGCAGGTGTGTCAAATTCTGGTGTGAATGAATAAAAATGATAGTTATACAACTCAAAATTCTTGTAGATCTTCAAGATGCAACACTACCAAAGTTTAAAGATATATCACAAGGCTAAGAAAGCAAGATAAATATTATAACAAGCAGAGAAAAAACAACTAAAAACTAAACCAGGACTAATCAGTGTGGGACCCACAAACTGGATAGAGATACAGAGTTATAATATGGTTGTTCACCAAGGACTTGATAAATCAGTTGGTTCTATCTCCATGGAACTGCAGATTCCAAGAACAGAGGCTGAGAATTGTTGCACATCTCACAGATCACAATATTTGGTTGGTGGCCAGTGTTTTACTTGCTGGGTATAGGTTTTTGCATCAAAATTAGTGCTCACTTGAACATAAAAATAGAATGAGGGAAATTAAAAGGAAGAAAAGATGTTTATGCTTGTACTTACAGGGTCAGTGAGCTCTGGCAAACTAGCCTGGTACGTGAGTGGTCGACAGTCCCGGGTGTTAAAAACTAATATGCAAGGAAGGAACATTGGTCCAAGGTCATCGCCATCAAGGACATCAACAGTCAGGGTGGTAGTACTTGTTCTTCGTTCCATAAGATTTTGAGCCCGGTCCTGGGGAGAAAATAGGTTTACAGAGAATGTTTCTGCATTCCTTCAGGAGAAAAAAATAACAATGTGCTATCTTTCAGTTAAAGACTATTCGTTTTCCTTCCAAAACACATAATAACATACAGCCCAAACTGCATGCCATAACACTCATGCTAAAGTCAGGCACAAGCAGAGGGAAGAGGTGAACCTTGGACTACCAGATCCCAGCTGGCTACAAGCAGCAGGGAAAACAGCCAGCAGTGGGGGGGTGGCAGGTGGGGGGTGGCCTTAGCCCTTTTCTTAATCTTTGGTGATACCAACAGTTAAAGGAGCTATCCCATGCATTCCTAGACAGAAACATGGTCCTACAACTCCAAGCTCTTTCCAGCTAGCTGTAGTGTTTAAATGTGCACAGGAATGTTCCTTAAGTTGATTGTGCTTTCATTTCTTGCTTTCATTATATTTTCTTTTTTCTCCAAACATTAATCATCTCTTTCACTCCTTTCTTTCTTCCCGCATCTTGTTCTCCTTCCTCTTTTATATCCGTACTTCAAGATTTTATTTTCCGTTTTCCTTTTCTATATTTGTCTCCCAAAATATCTTTCTCCTTTACTTGGACACCAAATCTTTGTGCTACTGAAACTGTTGTGAGACACACTGGGTGGCATGACATACAGAGCACAATTTGAAATGCGGGTGAGAAATTGTTGGATACAGAATTCCTCTTTGTTCTGTTGGTGGTTCTGTCCTTCTGAGCAGTTATATAATATTCGCAGAGAGACCTGAAGTTAATCATGTGGGAAGCCTGGCTGTCTAAATGGGCCTCCCACCCTGCAAAGCAACACTTGAAGAAACAGACATGTAGAGCAGACTGTGTGATAAAATCTTCTCTCTCATAAATATGGAGCTGATGAGCATTGTTTTCTGCACATAAATACAAAAGGATTTAATCCCTTGTATCTCCTCAAAAGTATTGCAGCTTTAATTATAGAATCATTTATCAGTGCAGCACACCAGTGCATGTCCCTTATATTCCACTCACTGACAGATTTCATCAATTCTCTTTGTTGCCTTTCTAGCATGGGAATAAAAATAAAAGTATTTTGCAGTGCAAAGGAGTCTGTTAAAAAAAAAAAAAGGAAGACACCTCCTTCTGCTTCTCAGAAAAAATCATGAAGAAGGGGTAAGGGGTGCTGTGGTGTTGCTTGCTGCCTTCTCCCCATGAGAAGAAGCCAGAAGCATCAGCACCCCAATTCTCTTCTGCCAGAAAGAAAGCAAGTGCAGCCTCTCTGCTGGGTTGACTTTCCCATAATCAAGTTCCATTGAAGTAAATTGAATAGCTTGTGGGTAAGACCACTTAAGAATATGTGATTTATTTTTTAGTAGGCATGTGTTTCAGCTGGTTGTAAATGCAAAGCTATGTACAATTAAAAGGTATTTCCCAATAGATTGATATACTAGGCACAACAAAATCATCCATTTATTTCTTAGCTTGAAAAAGCTGTAATGTAACATGTCAGGGAAATGATCCACACACAAATACTTGTTAAAGTTGAAAGAAAAAGCACCTTCAGAAAGTTCTTTTTCAAAGCAGAATGATCCAGTTAAATTAAAGCCATTAAATTTAATTCATATCAAATTAGTGTTACTAGATCTGTTGGGATAGCAAAGCTAATTGGCCCTATAATTTTCTTTATTTTTCCAAGACCTAAAAGCCAATTTTTCAACTAAATACCAGCATGTTTACGACCAGCACTTCTGTGAAAGATTGTATTAAAAGGCAACAAAAACACAGGGGAGATTTTCCTGCGTGCCAAGTTGCTTGATATTTCATCACTAGATGACATCAGCTGGGGACCCGCAACATAATTTAACTTCTGCTGTAAAGCAAGCTCTTTCTATAGCATCTGATCTATGATGGCTCATTCGGATACACAGGTTAGCACTCAATGTTGCAGTGATTGTTCAAATGAATGTTCCTGGGTAAATACACTTTTGAGAAATGATAGATAATTTGTTGATATTCACAGAAGTTAAATGTTGAGCAGACAAGATACACAGAAACCGCTTTCTTTTCCCTTCCTCCAAAACAGCTGTGTATGCAATTAATCTCCCAAATTATTATAAATAAGACATACTCACATTTGCTTGGACAATGACAAAATACCGGGTCTTTTCTTCGTAATTTAGTCGCTCACGTAAAACTATTGCTCCAGACAATGTAAGAGGAATGTCAAAAGTCCTATTTGATGTCTGCAAATAATAAAAAGAGCATGGTTGATAGGGCCATGGGATGCAATGAAGTAACTGAAGGAAGACCAAAGAGCAGCAATCTCTAGCAACGCATTCACTGCCTTTAACTGCTATGAATAATGTACATTATTCCACATGTTTTTCCACATCTATTTGTAATCATCTATCTGTAGAAGCTATTTTTAATCTTTACAGTTAGCTTTGTCTCCACCCTTAGCTGCCATCATGGGCTTAATAAGTTACCATAGAAACAGGGGAACTTTGCCTTCCTTTGAACAAGTTTGGTGTTGGAATTTATTCAGGGGGAAAGGAAACCAAATCAAACCAAACCCTTGGCATAATTACAATGTGAAATCAATGAAAGAAAACTCCTTCTTGAGTACCACCAGGAAGAAGTGCACTTATAGCATATCTTTCAACCATAAATGTCTACTTAAGCATTCCAGACTAGTTAGGAACAGAGTCTGGAAGAGAGTAAAACAATACCTGATGTCAAATCAATCCTAAAATGGCAGAGCCAATGGAGAGGTTGTTGGGGATTTGGAGCCTCCTCACATAAGCACAAGTGAACTTCTGTATTCATTATGAATGGGTTGCATGATTTATTCCTTATGAGTAGGGAAAGCAGGTGCTCCATAATGGCATCTCATAATTTCAAAAAGTTAGGGCTGGCATGATAAGCGATATGTTCTTTAGTTCTACAAACAAGGCTCAGAACAAGGTGACAAGCTATTGTTAATTTTCTTTGGTTCTTTGCTCTGATCACCACAGAAGCCTGTGATTAGAAGTCAGTCCAGATGAATACATGGGTTCCCCCATGTAGATTGCTTCTTCTACATGTAGCTTGAACATGCACACAACACCACTCATTCATTTGTACAAACTTGGTTCTAGTCTGATGAGATATAGGTAAAAATCATGGATCAGCACAAGTCTTCATACATACTGAAGAATCAACAGTCCTTCTTTTATGTTTTTAGTGTAGTCCTCATGTAGATGTACTTAGAAAATAAATGCATTTGTGCAAACTTCTGTGCATATTTTTCTGTATATTTCCTCGCACATACACATAGTTTATGTACATTTTCCAATGGTAGGCATGTCATGAGAAGAGCTGGCTAGAGCTGGGAGTCAGACTAGATGGCCCAAGAGGCACCCTCTGACTCGCTCTGTTTCTGTGTTTCTACATGATTTTCTCCCATTCACTAAAACTTATTTATATGCATTTTTCACATTTTTCATCCACATTTTTCAAGTGCACATTTTTCAGATACTCTTTTCTTGTATAAATCACAATGCATAAACTTCAGACTGCAGACTGTATTCGGGTATACATTCAGTTCCAGGAAGTACAAATTAAATAAACTCTGACTTAATGTTAACAGAGTAAACACAATCCAATCTGTTCCCCACCCAACTCTATCAGGAGTAGAACACTTTAGTTTGTAATATGTGAAATCTGTCATCAGCTCAGTAACACTGATCATTCCATGTTATTCTATTTCTTAGCAGATAAATTTGGAGGAACAGAATTTAAAATTTTAAGTGAAATTGGACATTTCTATACCCAAAATTTTCCTCATTTGTAAAACCATTTTTTCAATTGTTTATGAGGAGTCACAAATTTTACAGTGCAGAAGCAGTATGTACTGTATGCCTATTTCCTCCACCACAAAGTGAATGTGTGATACATACACTCAACCTAGAATCCATGTCCATTTATATGCTTCTTCCTTCAAAACTAAACCAGGAATGATGCATAAATGATGTGGCAAGACTGAACAGACTACACAGAGCACCTGTGTCACATATTACCCCCTGGGTTGTGAAGGAAAAATGCATAGGATTTTTCTCAGCTTCTTCATCCTGTGAAGTCTATGACTGGTAGATGTCTGAACTGGACCACAGATTTATTTATTATTAATTTTAATTTTAATATTTTTAGAGAGATCAAGAATGCTGAGGAGATGAAGGGAATATTCATAGACCAACATCAGTGAAGTAGGCCTAATTTTGTATAGCACGAAAGGTGGCAAATCTGTGCATAGACTGTCGTGGTGTAGACTGTACCTGATAAAATCCTCCTTCCTGCAGACTGATCGTCATCATCATAAGCTGCCAGGCACATAGCGTTTGCTTGAATATGGTAATATCCCATTATACAAATCTTTTCTGGGAAGGGGGCATTCCGTCATAGGAGCCTTCATCTGCATTCTGAAGGCTTGGCTTTATTTTATTATTATTTATTTTATTTAAAATATGTATATCCCATCCTATATGAAAGCTGTCCCAGGACAGCTTACAGAAGCTTGTATGGTGGTGGATCCAAGATAATTGCATTAATTTCGCTGTGAAAACTGGACTTGTAGGAAATATGAGGTAGATATTTGTCTATGTGCATGTGTGTAGCCAAATTAATATTATGTTGAAATACAGGGTATATTCTCAGATGCATTTGTTATGTTTCATAACTAATAGCCATATCCATGAGGTTTTGCCAACCTCATCTACCATTTGTGAGAACTAGTACTAGCTATTTCATGAAAATTATGCCTTGTATATGAATATTTGCACTATCTCCCCAACATCCTTGGGAATGTTGCTTGGAGCAACAGATCACACTATTTTTCCACAGGGAGAAAATGCATTTGCCTAATAATAGTGAGTGTAATTATAGCAAGCTTAATTATATTCAGCTAACAAAAGATGTGACAATCACTCTCTCCACCAGTTTTCTTGAATAGTGCCTTTTGGAATACAGACTGGCTTCATCTCAGCTTTTCTGTAATTTGGATCACAATGGGGATTTAAATATTGTCTTGGAATAATAAGCAACCCAAAATGATAACAACCATCCCTTTTTCCCTTATCAAAACACACTTACTTTTGCTTATGTTTTATTGTTATATTCATGCTGCCAATGATAATTCACATCCTGCAGGTAACAATAATAATTTGAACTTAACAAAATGTTTAATGTGTCTAAAATGTAGTATTTTAGATATAAAGAAATGGTACAGAAAACCTACAATTGGTAAAACAAAAAACAGCCCGCCCCCACACTTTTCTGTTTGTTCTGATCTTGAATATGAACTATTGTTTGCCTTGTATCTTAAAAAGCAGTAAAAGTATTCATCACTGAAATAACAGATTTTCTCTCTAAATAGATGGCACTAAAGATCACAAAAAGCTATTTCAACTTGCACACTAGGAAACTACTAAAATCATATTGGAAGAATTAATCCAAAGTAAATTGTCATGGACCTGCTGGCTTGACATTTTTACAAATTTTTAAAAAAGGAAGAAGAAGCCTGTGACCCAGGTTTAAAAAGTGGGGGGACAATTAACTAGATATACTGCTATGTAATATATTTACTACCAGAAATAAAACACCATTTTAATAATACTATCTTAAAACTGCAGGATACTGCAGGGTACTGCAGGGACTGACAGGACTCCTGCAGAGAGGGGCCAGGTATCAGGGAGGATGGGAGGAAGGAGGAGGCTGGGAACTCCAAGGAAAGGAAGCGGTGGGAAGGGGTTGAGGTGCATGTACACCAATGCTAGGAGCATGGGTAATAAGCAGGAAGAGCTTGAAGCTCTCCTGGGAATAGGAGGGTATGACCTGGTGAGAATCACAGAAACTTGGTGGGATGAAAGGCAAGTCTGGAATGTGAACATAGAGGGGTATCACCTTTTTAGAAAGGACAGGAAGGGACAGAGGGGTGGGGCGTGGCTTTATACATCAGGGAAAGGATAGGATGCAGTGAGATAGAATGCAGCACAGATGGGGATTTGGTAGAGGCAGTCTGGGGGAAACTTAGGGGTTTTGACAGGGAAAGAGACCTGACAGTGGGGGTATGTTATCGCCCTCCAGGTCACCTTGAGACCCTGGATGATGTCCTGACAGGCCAGATTCTAAGGATATCTTGGGGGAGAGACACAGTAATTATGGGAGATTTCAATCTCCAAGATATTAGTTGGGAGACTCACTCGGCGGTGACAGCCAGGTCACGTCGCTTCCTAGAAGCTATAGAGGGAGAGTTTTTCACACAGAGGGTCCGAGAGGCAACGAGGGAGGGAAACATCTTTGACTTGGTCTTGACCAATAGGGAGGAGCTGACAGATGAAGTACAGATTAGGGGAGCTCTGGATGTGAGTGATCATCCTTTGCTTTGAGATCAGGGGACTGGGGACGTGCAGCAGGTCGAGCACTAGAAGCTGGGACTTCAAGAGGGCCAACTTTGGCCAACTGAAGGCCAGAATGGGGAGAGTCTCCTGGGATAGGTTACTGGAAGGTAAGCGAGTTGAGAGGGGTGGATGGCACTCAAAAGGGAGGTTTTGGAGGCGCAAGCCTTGACGATACCTCTAGTCAGTAAGGTGGGGAGGCGGAGGAGAGTGCCACCATGGATGTGAAAGGAGGTGGTTAGAGGGATTAGACGAAAGAGGAACTTCCATAGGAAATGGGTACTGGGGGAAATAGACAAAAGGATATACCGGGAGGAGGAGGCCTGTTGCAGAAGGATTCTTCGAAAGGCTAAGGCTGATTACAAGCTGAGACTTGCCAAGAATATCAAGAGCAATAAAAAGGGCTTCTTTCAGCATGTAAATAGGAAAAGGAAGGGGAGACAAGTGGTGGGACCACTAAATAAGGAGGAAGGAGATCCAGTGACTGATATGAAGGAACAGGCACAGATGATAAATGACTATTTTGCCTCTGTATTCTCCCCAAAGCAGGACGGGGGATATCCACATAGGAGATTTGATGAGGCTGGGGACTTAGGGGCACAGATTAGAATCACCCCTCTTGAAGTTGAGGGTGCCAGGGTCCTGATGGGTTACACCCGAGAGTGCTTAGAGAGTTGGCAGGGGTTCTCTCACGCCCGCTGGCCTCCATTTTTGAGGCCTCATGGAGAACGAGTGAAGTTCCAGAGGACTGGAGGGTGGCATCAGTGGTCCCAATTTTCAAAAAGGGTAGTAGAAGGGACATGGAGAACTATTCCTGTTAGCCTTACGTCCATTGTAGGAAAAACAATGGAAAGGCTCATAATAGAGAGAGATCTAGTGATGCTAGATAGGGAAGGGAGGCTGACAGCCACACAACACAGCTTCCGCAAAAACAGGTCCTGCCAGACAAACCTTGTGGAATTCTATGACAAGGTTTCGAGATGGCTAGATGGAGGGGATGCAGTGGATGTGGTTCACCTGGATTTCAGCAAGGCCTTTGACAAAGTGCCCCATGATATCCTGGTGGAGAAACTGAGGAGTTTTGGGATACACCAAAGCACTGTTCGGTGGATTAGGGCATGGTTGACTGACCAAAAGCAGAAGGTAACCATTAGCAGGGAATCATCGGGATGGCGGCCAGTAACAAGCGGGGTCCCCCAGGGCTCTGTCCTGGGGCTGATCCTGTTTAATCTTTTCATTAACGACATGGAAGAAGGGGTGAACAGTCTGCTGATCAAATTCGCAGATGACACTAAAACTGGAGCAGTGGCCACAACTGAGGAGCAGGTACTCCAGATCCAAAAGGACCTGGACAGACTATGGAAGTGGGCAGGAGACAACAGGGTGGCGTTCAATGTGGATAAGTGCAAGGTCTTGCACTTGGGGCATAGGAATAGCTGTCATAAGTACAGGTTAGGGGACAAGTGGCTGGGCAGCAGCACTTGTGAAAGGGACCTCGGGGTACTGCTTGACTGCAGGCTAAACATGAGTCAGCAGTGTGATGCGGTGGTCAAGAGGGCAAATGCCACCCTTGGTTGCATAGCCAGAAGTGTGGCTTCTAGATCAAGAGAGGTATTAGTACCACTCTATAGACTCTGATACGCCCGCAACTGGAGTATTGTGCTCAGTTTTGGGCCCCTCATTACAGAAAGGATATAGCCAGGTTAGAGTCAGTGCAGCGTTGGGCCACAAGGTTGGTGGCCGGTCTGCAGGGAATGGGGTATGAGGTGAGACTGAGGGAACTGGGTCTCTTCAGCCTGGAGAAGAGGATACTCAGAGGGGATATGCTGGCGACATACAGGTATGTGAGGGGATGTCACATGGAGATGGGTAGAGACCTGTTCTCCCCTGCAGAGGAAGGCAGGACGCGCTCCAATGGAGCAAAGCTCAGGGAGCCAAGCTTTCGTTTGGATGCCAAGAAGCACTTCCTGACAGTTAGGGCCCCGAGGGTGTGGAATGGGCTTCCACGAGAGGTCGTTGAGGCCCCATCGGTGCGGGTTTTCAAGGATAGGCTGGATGTGCACATGTTGTGAGCGCAGCCGGCTGGTGCCAGAGGTCAGACTAGATGGCCTGGGAGGCCCCTTCTGACTTGCTCTGTTTCTATGTTTCTATCTCTACCTCTCACTCTTGACCTTTGGGGTCAGTTGGGGCCAGTTCACACAGAGTACATGAAGGGTAATATAGTTCTATTGTAAAGCATGGGACTCATACACTCCTTTTCAGAAGAAATATAAAAGGGGACATGCATGTACAAAACGCCTATCTGACTCATGCAATCCCATGTATGTACATACATGCCGTACACAGGAAATATGCCATTGCTCAACATATATAAAATGTTTGATGTGAACTAGAACTCACTTTTTCACTGTGACTTTTCCTTTGTTCAGTGGAGATGTTTTACTTCTATATGTATATGCAAATATAAATACATTGTAACTTTATATCTAGAAAATAGTTGATCATATTCATTAAGAAAGATTTGAGAGCCATTTCACACATTGTGCAAAGGCAAACTTGGGTTTGTATGTTCAGCAAAGAGTTGCAAAAGCAAAACAAATGAGTATGATGAGCATAAACTGGTATAATATATGTGCCTACAAGCACTCGTTTCTTACAAACACATTTGTATACACTGACATCCTCAAAACATTTTCCTCCCAAAGTCTGAACGGCTCTCAGTGTGTCAGACCAAAGAATAATTATTTGAGGTTTCCCAAGGAAGGAATACTGGATTCATTAAAAAAAAACCTACAGGGGATACAAATGGCATTCTCCATGTCCCAAATGCAAAAGAAGGGCTTAAAATCCAGTTCATCCATCCCAGCCTGTTGTGTGTATCAGGAAGCCTCACTCGGTACCATACTACTCATCCCAAACCTGTGGTCAAATTGCCTATAAAGGAAGTTACAAAAGCTTTTGGAAAGGTAAGAAAAGGAATAATATAATAACAAATTGTGTTAAAATCAGGGCTTGGTGTCTTATATTTGTCTTCAAATAATGAATATTTACTGAAAAGAATAATTTCACATACTGGGTCGCTGGGATTGTACTGGATGACGTACTCTATCTGGCCATTGGGACCGTCATCTATGTCTGTGGCACCATTGTGTCCGGAGAATCCGGTAAAGATGGTGGTTCCAACTGGTGTTAACTGCAACAACAAAAAGGATGCGCATGCTTAGGAACCCTTGAAGGAAAGAAGGACCACGTAATGGTTTCAAGCTCCAGTGAGGCTAGTGAACATGGCATTATTTTGACCTGTTGAAAAGACTGCTGCTTCCTCTTCCAACAAACAAACAAGCAAACACCTGCAAGGGAAAATACTAAGATTTTTCCTAGGCTTAATCACACACTGCAACTAAAAATTGTGAATTATTTGCACTGTTTAGTTTCAGAAGAAATATAAATGTGTGAGAGTTTGTGCCTCCTTAGCACTAGTTCTTCCCCCGAATGTGCCACTGATGAAACCCAGATCTGACTGCCTTCAGCAGGGCTGCTTTCAGACCATAGTCCTCACAGCAACATTATGGTAAAATCAAGAGGGGTGCAGGTAGCCCTGGTAGCATAACTATCTTGCACATGTCTTTCCCTGCAAGGACAGTGGCTACAATTCATCATATACAGTCCAGGGGTGATCTGAGTTGTTCCAGGAAGACAACTCAGCTGGCTGTCCATGCCAGTTTCCTTAGATTCTTGGGAAGAAGTGTTAGAACTATGTTGTCCCATTTTCCTTCAATAGATGCCTGATATGAGCTATTCATGTCTGACTCTTTCCTTCCTTGGCATTGAGTCTCACTGTCGCAAGCCGTTGTGCCTTCATTTTCCCTTGCATTTCCCTGTATGCAAGAATAAAGGCATAAAGCCTTGTGAAAGTGAGGCTATATGCCAATATCAACCAGAGCCTCATAAAATTTCAGGTCAGGGATGGGAATACAATGCCATTAATAGGATTCCCACGGGGCCTCCCTTCCATACACTGACCAAACCCAGATCTGATCACCTTGACATAAACGCTCACACATTTATATTGCCTCTGAAGCCTCTGAGACACTGTGGAATGTTTTGTGACCCTGGCTGAAGGTAAGTGGCACCAACTGCAAGAACAGATATTTGCCAAGGAAGGAAATAGTCAGACACAAATATATTAGCCATCTTATATTAGCCATCTCTTGAAGGCCATTTATTGACGGCCCTGCTTCCTTGGCAAGTATCTGTCCTGGCAGTTGGTGCCACTTACCTTCAGCCAGGGTCACAAAACATTCCATGGAGTCTCAGACACTGAATTGCTTAGCAATGTGAGACCACAGTCCCCAGAAGCCTTTGCATTCATGTGCTGAAGATCAAAACCGATGAAGGCCATAAGGTAGTCAAGGTCAGTGAGAAATCTGCTATGTTAAACCTTCGGATCACAGCACTTCTTTACTGTTTTTCCTTTAACAGTAAGTAAGTAAGTAACAGGCTTACAGTAAATAACAGGCTTCGGCGAATGGGGCGGCATAAAAATGTTTTAATAAATAAATAAATAAAATAAATAAATGGCAAACCTCATTCAGTGTAATTGATGCCCATGCCTTAGAGGGGTATACTCTAGACATATGGAGTATACCCCTCTAAGTTGGTTGACTTGGTAAGGCCACACTAACAGCCAAGTATATTATTATACAACACATGAACACAAATAAATCCCCAAATACACACAATTGGATTCAAGATATATTGATGTTAGCAACTCATGGAAAGGTATGTTATATCAAATTACTAATAGAAAACAAAGACTAGTTAATATGGGAACATTTTCTTGTTTATATGCACAGTAATCCATCCCCAAATGAGTGTAGACCAGTAAGGAAACACAGCACAATCCTTATATTTGTTTTCCTGCCTATCTATTTATTTACCTAAATTTGCCTAATGCTATTTACTTTACAATATGATGAAGGAAGGGCAGGCAAAAAGTAAGGGAACAGAGGCAGAGGCGGAAAGGCTTTACCGCTTGAATTGTATCAGAAAATAAAAATCTAATAAATCTAATAAACTGTTAACAGCAACAGCAGAAATGGTTCCTAATACAGGACTGCTAAACTCAAGCTCTGCCAGGACCAAAAATACTTGATTCACAAACCTGCAGGGTCTAATTTATACTGAAATAGCTTTCAAAGATGATGCATTTTAATCACACAGTTTCTTGAATTTACATTTACTTCTCCTATGGCAGCTGGTGCCTATGCACTGTAGACCTGGTATTAATCCCATTCTTATGTGGAAAACTTCTTCTGAAATCTGGACTATTGTAACATGTTCTACATGGGGCTGCCCTTGAAGACAATCTGGATACTTCAGGTGGTCCATAACAGTGCAGCCAGGCTTTTGATGGGGACCAGCAGATATGCTCACATAACACCAGTTCTTAGTGTCTGTACTGGTTACCAGTTGAAGTCCAGGCCCAATTGAAGTGTTAATGATGAGCTATAAAGTTTAAAAGGTTTAGGGCCAAGGTATCTGAAGGAGCATCTACTTCCTTATACACCTGCCCACCCCCTAAGATCCGAGTCTGAATTTTTTCTTTGAGAGTCGTCTTTGAAGATCAGAAGACTGGCTACCCGGAGAAGGGATTTTTCTGCAGTGGTACCCTGGTTTTGGAACCTGCTCCCCAGAAAGGTGCATTGATGCTTTATTCATTTTGCTTTATTCGCCGATGCCAAAACCCTTTTATTTTCCCAGCGTTTTAAGAGTTGATTGAGATTTTAATATTGGGTCTGATTAGATTTATACTTCATTTTGTGTTGCCTCTTTATTTTGTTCTGTATCACTGTCCTGAGACACTTGTAAACAATGCTTTAAACAATGACTAACTAAATAAATCCCATTAACCTAGATATCCATAGATGAACTCTCACAATATGAGTATAATGTCATCAACTCTCGTGACAATATCTATCCTCCTCGATCATGTTATACATCAGGGTCAGTGCACATATACTGATGCATATATATACCAGCTTATAGTGGTTAGATGAGTCCCTTTAAAAAATTATAGTTAGTACTTCACACATGCAGATTTAAGCTAAACAAACCCCCAGGTTTTTGTCCCATTGTCCACTCCTGGGCAGGCTGGTAAGTATGTAGAAGTGTACTGTGACTACCGACATGTGCCCATTCATACCTCCAACATGTTTACACAGATTTACCTATTGGTGATCCCCCTGGAACAGGGAACATCTCCTGAGAATAAATTGAATCCTTAAGCATGTCAATGCCTTAGTTGAATTGTCCTGTCACCCCAAAGAATCCTATGTAGCTCATTACCGAATGGGCATGTAAGAGTCTTTATTCCAGCCGTGAAGTAGAACTGCTACTCAGCAGCATTCAAGCTGCATGCATTTTGTCTTTGTGAGGGTTTCAAACATGGTTTGTTTTCTGTACGCGACTAAATCACTTCCCGAGCAATACTTCATAGGAATCTAATTCCCCGTGCTTCCTCCTCATCTGCTCCTGCATTTTTTCTCCCCACATACTAAGGAGATCTAGGATTTCAAGGTTTTCTCCTTATAAAATGCCATGGCCCCTGGCTGCTGAATTTTGCAACCCAGTTATGCAGAGAGGTGAAGAAGTAGATCAGAGGGGGAGCAGAAAGACATTTGATTTGCACATGCAGGGGGTGGGGTGGGAAGACAGCTATCCCACTTGTGGAACAGTAAATAGTAAACAGTATGGTGTTGAGACAGACACAAATATTTTTGGAGACAAGCCACACGTTCGACTGAAAATGCATATTGGAAGTACAAGGCACACTGAAATCACAAACTTTGAGGAAACCACACAAAACAGAAAACCCATTATAAAAGGATTTTGTGAAAATCCATTTGGGGAAACAAAGCCTGGGGTTGAAATAGTTTGGGGAGAGTACCTGATGCTGCTCTAGTGTCAGAGTTGAAATAGCACACAATAAATTGCCCATGTAGATTAGCCTTGGGGCAGCCATAAAGAACTAAGATGGATGACAACTGGAAAAGTCTAGTTTTGCTCACTGCTTTCTGTGACAAATAAACTTTGGGAGAAACCTTGGCACTTGGGCTGCTTAGAAATAGGAATAATTGTTTGGTAAGGCAGATAACTGATACAACAGACCCTGCTTGGTGACTTAGCAGGTGGTAAAACCACAATACTAAACTAGGAGCAACATGGCACTTGTTTACAAAAGTATAGCCCTGTGTGTGTGTTCACTCTTATTGCATGGAAAACGTGTGTAATAAGCAGGCCAGGGACTTACTCTTGTGTGTTTGGATTCTGAAGGGACAACACTGTGGAAGACGCTCTGGGATGGCAGGATTATTCAAGGTGGGTAGAAGCCTTCAAAGGCCCGTCAAGGTTGTTGCCTACAGTTTCCCAGGCCAACTGTGAGAGCATATTTTGGAAGAAATGGGAGGGAACTCAGTTTATGAGAGAGAGCTGTTGCCTTGCCCAGTTGCTGACCCAGTCAGAAGGCTTGCATAGATCCCACAGGCTAGCTCTCTACCAGAGAGAGACGCCTGAAGGGTGGAGCCTGCAGTGTGAGTGAAAGGGAAGACTGGGGCAGAGTTTCCAAATAGGGTTCAACTATCATTCATCAATTTTTTTTTACATTAGCAGGGGCTATCATTCAGCTTGCTAGGTGGCTTTCTAAGTTGTATTGTCTTATTAGTTATGAAGTGCCAAGGAAGATCTACATTGTAAAGAGCAATCTGGTGTCCTAGACCCTGGGTAAGAAAAGGATGTGTTGGACTCACAACAAGGTGAGTAGGTCCATGCTCACTGCTCCATTGCATCACCAGCCCCACTGCTTTTCATGTGGTTGAGGAGCAATTCTGAATCATGGAGCCTTTTCCATGAGTGTAGTTACAATATTTAGAACCTTGATATGTCAACTTTGCAATGTATGGCTGTGAAAGCTGGACCATAAGGAAGGCTGAGTGCCAAAGGATTGAGGCCTTTGAATTGTGGTGCTGGAGGAGACTCCTGCAAGTCCCTTGGATAGCAAGGCAATCAAACCGGTCAGTCCTAGAGGAGATCAACCCTGACTGCTCTTTAGAAGGCCAGATCCTGAAGATGAAACTCAAATACTTTGGCCACCTAATGAGAAGGAAGGACTCCCTGGAGAAGAGCCTAATGCTG